ACCTCAACTCCGGTGTCTACCTCTTCCCTGCCGCCATCCACGCAACCGGCGCCGAGCGTCCACAAAGTCGATAGCCACCCACCTGAAAGCCCGCCAAGACGCACCACGAGGCACTCAGCGGCTATCGCAAAGCCTCTTGCCGATTCCAGAATATCGACGCCCGTCGGACATGCCTCCTCACTCAGCGGCAACGCCATGCCACCAAATACTCTGGAAATGGAAGACTGGGAAATTGCTCCAGGGCGGATTCGTGATGAACGCAGCGAATCCCCTACAAGTACGTCTTGTACCGTCCATATGATGCTATACTGCGATGCTAATCTTGTCCCAGATGTAGCCTTCTCCAACTCCTATCTCACGAGCGATCAAGCTGTGACGGTCTCTGAGGAGATATCCTTCAACGTTATCGTCATCAAGCCCGGAGAGTCGCATGAATGGGCTGCCGAACCAGAGAAAGTCCGAATCTGCTCCTTGGCTGCGGGTAAACTTAAGGTGAAACTCGAGAATACGGAGCCATTTTCGATGGGCCCGAACGGAATGTTCAAGATGAAGCCCGGTACAACGTGCACTGTTTTGAACCGGCTATATATCGACGCGGTGGTGCATGTCACCACTGTTTCGTTCTTTTAGAGCGGATACTTCTTAGGGTTTGAGCGTGGATTAGGAGGCGTTAGGAGTCAGAGGCCCGTATACCTTGCCCAGTCTTTAAATGACGATACGGTTGAGGCCTTACGCATCGCAAGCCACTTGCTTGGAGTCTTCTTGCTGAGCTTTAGCAGGTAGCTTCCCATCATTAAACGTATTGCAATACTTTTTTGAGACATTGACGACCTTTTCGTACTAGCATTATCAGGACGGATCTATCTCATTGCCGTGTTATCTTCTTGGCGGTCCTCTGGTTCGTCACATTACACCTTGGCCACCTTTTCACCAAGACCTTTCTCATGGTTCACCACCTCGCCGCTTTGGGGCATGTCGATAGCCTCGATGACCTGCCCCTCGCCTTCCAGCTCTTCGGGCCTGACATAGTCCTTCGGCTCGACCCATCCCTCTTCCATGATCGGAGGTGGCCAAATCTTGCAGGAAACCCAAAAGGTGAAGCCGGACAGGAACAGTCCGACCCAATACGCAAAGAAGTAGAACCTCGTGACGCCAACGGGGGCTGAAACACCCATATTGTTGAGGAAGCCGTAAAAGTTGGGGATGATGCCAACAATATAGGCGACATAGGCACGGATGTTCCAGCCGTGGAAGTAGTGGTAAGCCCCTGGCTTCATTGACGTGAAGCAATCTGGTATGCTGATGCGACCGCGGCCGATGATGTAGTAGTTTACCAGCAAGACGCCCGTGATGGCTGAGAGGAAGATTTGGTAAGAGGAGAGGAAAGATACGAAGACGGAGGCAGAGCCCTAGTGCTCATTAGCAATCATCTTCACACTCGAGCAGGTTGGAGTAGGACTTACCAGCAAGAACCAAGGGTTGATGGCGAACGAAATGACGGCACAGACAAAGAAGCCCCTCCGAACTGTGAGGTACTTGGGGAACAACGCCGCAATATCGTTACCAGCCGGCAAGGAGTTCTCAAAGATGGAGCTGAAGATGCAGCAGTATGCGAAGCAGCCGGCGATGAAAAAGCACCCGGCTCGGTTGGCTGCCGTGTACTCGGCCGTCTGGAGGCTATCCAGCAGCGTCACGGGGTTCCAGATCAACTCGCCAAAGATCAACTCGCTAGAGGCGCAGACGAGGTTTCCCACCGCTGCCACGATGAAGTTGGCAACAGGGAAACAGAAGAGGTTACCGACAATAACATCATTCTTCTTCTTTGCATACCGCTGGAAATCCGCGGCGTTACTCGCAAAGGTGGCGCAGTTGGCCGCCCCTAGCATCAGGAATTGCACGATCAGCCACGCCCTCTTTGATCCCGTCGCCGTACCGCCCTGGCGTACTACAGGACCGAGACCACCTGCCTTTGTGGCCGTCCACGCAAGCATAGCTACGGCGGATATGATGAAGACGCACAGCTTCGCGTAGACGAGCCCGCGCATCTTTGGGACAGGGATGACGAGGAACGCGCAGGTGATGAGCCAGAAGATGACGAAGCCAATCATCCCCGCTGTCGTGAGCGCCGAGCCCTCGCCCATGGTGTTTGGGATGTTTGCGATACCCGGGATGATGGCGTGGAGCATCACGTAGATGCACTGTCCCCCCTGCACGGCATTAACACCGTTCCAGACGATAGCCATGACGGCGCGGTTAAAGGTTGGCCACCACGCGCCGTAGATGCCAAAGGCAGCACGGCAGACGACGGGGTATCCCACGTGATAGCAGCTGCCCGGCCGGCCGTTGAGGGTGATGATGGCGGCGATGAGGCATTGTCCGCCGAAAGCGCAGGCGAGGGACTCCCACATGGAGAGGCCGAGGGCCTGGGCGGTGGAGGAGGCGTACCAGTTGGACACGGTCGCAGTGGCGGAGAACCAGAAGGTGAAATAGGTCCATTGGGTCCAGGTGCGGTCGGCGAGCTTGAGGGGGCGGAGGTCGTCGTTGTTGAGAAGGGCGTCGCGGCCGTGGATGTCCGAGGTACCGGCGGCGGCGGGGACGCGGAGGCGGTTGAGGAGGCCCATCTTGTGTATGCGGCTTGCCGGTGTCGGCAGACTTGGCTCCGAGGGTGGGCTTGCGATCAGAGATTCTCGAGTCTTGATGCTCGTCTCTAGAAACTCAGCTGTAATGATCACCGTTGAAGAAGCAATGCCCGCCCACCCGTACAAGTTGCTTGAATAGCAAACGGGAGATATCCGGAGGAGCTCAACGTTACCATGACAGAGACTTATACCAAATCACACCCGACAGTATGGTAATAATATCGGCTACGGAGTCGCGATCGGCTGCTGCGTGCTGATAGCCATGATACTCTTCAAGATACCGGGGTCGTGCGGTTCATGTGGGGGAGATAAGCACTGCAGGGATGCTGACGAGTCTCAATAGTCGACACATTGTGCAACCTTTCACAGAAGTGATTTGTGCACTGCTGTATGGAGTCTCGCCAGTGTATGGAGTTGATATAATCCTGGTTGAAGATATTCTACTGTTGGAAAGATGACAGCGAAGTGAACTCAAGCATCACCAAGACCTCTCAGTTGATGCCAAGCATCTTGGTAGATCGGCATCATATAAGTATCAGAGTCGACCGGAGAAAACAGAAGCCCCCGGGAAGCAAAGGGCCCCTGGTGGCTCCGAAGACGGGGATCAACCCCGTACCCCACACGGTCCGTTGTCGGCGCATTTGTCCCGAGAGCGATAAGCGGCCGTGCTGGGCGGATTTGCAGATTGTCTCCAGCGAACCGCGTCGCACGCCATTATCTTTGGCTATCGTGTCATTCGCCGTCGTTCAAATCTCAGACGATTTCCGGCTAAGACCGGCGGACAACATTTCAACTACCCGACAGCGAGTGATCCGTTCCATTTGAGCACGCTATTCATCCGGAGGCTTTAATCGGAGTTGACACATCTAATTCGTGTGCAGTGAAACCTATCTTGAGTGTTGAGCTCAAGAAAGAGACAATTTGCGTAATTCAAAAGAGGATCATTTGCCTTTACTCTGAAGCTTGCCGACCACTATTTTGTTCAACATAGATCAAGAACAAGATAGCTCAACTCAACAACCCGACGACTGGACTAATCTCACTCTCACAACCCGCAACCATGACTACCACGGTGACTGAGACCGCTCCAGAGAGCTACAAGCTCGAGCTCATGTCCGCCTACGGCCCCGTCTACCGCGACGTGCTCAAGACCCCGCCCCGAGACTGCGACGCATCCGAGGTCCCCGTCATCGACCTCTCCACCATACACGGCACCGAGGCCGAGCGCAAAGCCCTCGCCGCCACCATCCGTGACGCGGCTGAGAACACGGGCTTCTTTTACATCAAGAATCACGGAATCCCAAAGGCCACCATCGACGCGGCCTTCTCGCAGGCGCAGGCCTTTTTCTCGCAGCCGAATGAGAAGAAGGCGCTGGCGACGCAAAAGAAGAGCAAATTCTTCAACGGGTGGACTGAGAAGCGCGCTGCGCAGATCTCGCCGACGGAGACAAAGGATCATCGTGAGGGGTTCAGTTTTCGGTATGATCCGCGGTATGACCCCGAGACCAAGGATCCGGATGCCGTGCCAGAGGAGGTGAAGCCATGGATGAAGCATGAGGACTTTGTGTGGGAGGGTACCAGCCATCTGCCCGGGTTCAAGGACGATATGATTACCTACTGGCAGGGCTGTTTGACGCTTGCGAGGAGCTTGATCAGGGCTTTCGCACTGGCGTTGGATGTTCCTGAGAACTATTTTGACGATGTTATTACATACCCCGGAAGGTACGTGATAATATCTTTGACGAGGTCGTGAGCATAGACTGACAACCTTACAGTGATAGCGTCTGCAACTATTACCCCAAGAACACTGAAGCGCAAGACGCCACGATCGACGTTGGCCTGGGCGCTCACACTGACCTGCAGTGCTTCACCCTCCTCTGGCAGGACAGCGTGGGCGGGTTGCAGGTACTCACAAAAGACGGGCAATGGATCAAGGTGCCGCCAGTTCCCGGCACCTTTGTCATCAACATTGGCGACTTTTTGCAGCGGTTGTCCAACGATAGATTCAAGTCAACGGTCCATCGGGTCTTCAACTACGCCCCCGAGGACCGGTACTCTATGCCCTTTTTCTTTGGGTTTAATCATAATGAACAGTGTTCTGTGCTTCCTACTTGCACGGATGAGAAGAATCCGCCCAAATATGAGCCGATCAGCTGTGGTGAGGTACGTTACAAAGCCCCCCTTTGATACAATGTTAGACGCCTGAGTGGTGAGACTGACTTGGTCACAGTGGTGTCGTTTGAGGTTTGAGAGAACATATGAGTTCTCGAGGTCTAAGGACTGCAAATGATGTTGTTGAAAGGGCCATCTCAGTTGATTCATGACCTCATTGCATCTTACTATAAATTACCTATACCAAATCTAACTCTTCAGTTCTTCCCGACTTGAAACAAGATCCTACCAGTTCGTCTGAGCAAGTGATCTTATTTCGCAAATATCTGCGCCTCCCTAGTTCAAGAAGTCCTACCCGGCTGTATTTGATCACGCCACCTTGGACAGACTTGATGGGCTTGATGTGAAGGTACATCCAAGTAGTATCTTCGCCTTCACCCGCTCTGAGCACTTGAGCAAATACGGCCCCAGCTTCCCAGATTGAAGGAGCAAGACTTGCCGCTCTGTCAGGAAAGTCATGCAACACGGTAATCGGGAACGTTTCGTCTCTTGCTCTTTCACTCAAGTCAGTGAAAACAGCACATCTCAGACCGACAGTGATACCATCGTTGACACAAGTCAGTTCAGCGTAGTATATCGGTTTCTCCATGCTCCCCTCTCGAGGCATTCTGACCTGACTTCGGCAGCTTGCCCAGGACCACGATGGTGTTTCCTTGACCTTCGAAGTTTTGGAGATAGATTCACTGGAGGGATTCTCTGTATGCCATAGCAAGTCTAAGGGAAGTGACTTCCTCCATATCCCTGCAACGTAATCCTTCATTTCTTGCCCAGTCCGGCGGCTATATTGGATTGCGAGACCCATTATCGCGGGCAGCCTGTCTGATTCTTGAGTTAGGTCTAGTGTCGTGTATCTCTCAACCAGCCGGCGCCACCAGTTGCGGAGGTTCCGTGCCGCATGTTCACCCTTGTCGTCTAATGAGGCATAGTACGCCATTTTGAGCGGCATCGGCAGGAGTGCATAATTCGGATCCTCTACCCGCTTAGAGTCGTGGAAACGATAGGATCTTTGGTTAACCTGACTCATGTTGCCTTCCTCTCCCTCAAGATTTAACTGGCCCGTCATGCCAGAGAGTCTGCCGCATTCGCATCGGGAGCCTTCGAAGCACTCCCACATGACTTCGTTTGGGGCGAAGACGACGAACCTGCGAGAAAGTAGTCTTTCTTGCATCACCCATCCTCTTGTCATCAGATCCAATCTGCTAGGCGTACGAAGACCTTTCTGCTGCATGACATGTTCCCTCCCAGCCATCTCATACTCATTCTCATGATCCGGTAGGCTTTTTCGCAGCATCAGTCTCGGGTTTTGGCGTTGAGGATTGGTAACATCGAACCCCTTGTAGACGCGGTCAGCTTCAGCAAAGCAGCCATCAGGCCCGGCCGCTGCTGCAACAGTGAGGAGTGCACCCTCATAGACAGAACACATCAACTTTGACTCTGCGTCCCAGTCTGCAACGCTATCCTGGATGATGCACAGGCTGTCGATCCAGACGTATCGAATGGGTTCTTCTTCTGGGTGGTCTTTCGCATACCATGAGGCAAAGTCTTTGATGAATATGATGGCGTCCTGGAAGTTCCGGGTAAGAGCAGACCAAGGAACATTCTTCTTCAGCGATTCGATGTTGGTGCTCACACATCGCGGCATCTTGGAAGCTTCTATCCATCGGTGGCTGAGCGCGATGTAGTGGCTTCTTGTGGTGACATGTTCAACCAATCGCATATTGCCTTTGTCTGAGATATCAATCAGACGAGTTGGCATCGGGTGTATGCTGAGTCCACTGCCACAGTCCGGATGCTGCGCGACACATTCCTCGAACCACGTAAAAATCTTTTTGAAAGTATCTGGAGACCCTGTGTGGCCTACGATGGGTGAAGACTCATAGGCATGGGCTACATACACCGGCAGCGGGTTGTAAGCGTTGGGGTCAAGGACTGAGATCAAGTATCGCAGACAGGACTGCATGTAACCTTGGGCCGGTGGTAGCGTTGTTTTAAGCAGTTGCAATTTCGATAGTAGATAACCGCCTCTTGGCCCTCCTTTCCTTGCGGTAAGAACAATGTTCGTGCCGTCAACGTCTGCGTCGATGTAGAACAGGGCATCTCGCATGTCATTTGAGTCTACGTTGTCGAGAACATGACTGAAGAATGAGATTGTGAAGCGGGCTATCCAGCAGCCGTGACAACGGTTTTGGTACTCTGGTTGCAGTAAGCGGCGATCGGGCTTGAATTTGGGGTCCAGTCCGGTTCGGGGGTCCGGGCCGGGTGGCATGTCAGTGGAGAAGAAGGACAGGCATATCGGGCATTCTTCCGTCTTGTAGATCCAACCAGGCAGAAGCCGCTGCCTCAGCGATGACATGGTGCAGCAGTTACAAGATAGTTAGTCAGGAGGGATAATTGACAACTTGGAACTCGGGTATGGATAGGTTTGCCTGATGTGGGCTGAAAGAAAACACTCCGAAAATCAACGCAAGTCGGTTATCGGGGGCCTGATTTCAAAGAATGACTGCTGAACATGAACAATTTTTAGAATCACTACCCCGCTCGCAGACTCCATGGCTCGATGCCTGCATTAAATCTGCAGAAGAGGGTGGTATCACGTGGGGCTGTGACACTGGCATTGCAGTAGTGCTGATTGGCAATCTATCCGTCTGATAGCCGACCCATAGATGAAAATCAAAGGGGAAACAGCGTAGAGACTTGGCATTTTGCGACCAGGTGAGTTGCTGTGAAGTTGTCTCTTGTCTCAGCTTGCGTTAACTAAATCCTGATGGCTATAATGGTAACTGACTCGACATCACACCTTACTAAGTGAAGAACCGCTACAGAGGAAATGTAAACGGTGCATTCTTTGAGGAGAAATGAATGTCTATTCTTCTCGCCCGCGATTGATTCATCAGTCATCATGGATCAAGGCATCATCAGCTCTTCCCGCTCGTAAGTCGTTTGTCTGACTCCAGCTCTCTGCCACGAGCCGATTCGGGCAGGTAGACTGAGGTCCAACTGCATCACTCTGCTAGAAGTCGAAGCTCTGTCCGAATTGAGTGCTTGGCCATAACCAACCACTGACGGCCCTCTCTCATCCCGGAACCTGCCCTCAACGCAAATATTGTTATTTTTGTTCGTGCCGTGGCAGCCTGCATTCATCGCCTTCCAGTTTGCGTGTGCTCGTATGCAATTCAACCTTGAATTTTTAGGTGGGGCAATAGTTGATAGGCTTCATTGGTGGGAGTCGAGAGCAAATGGCACTCCACCGCAGATGTGTTTGCGGTTTGGGGGCTGGTGTACTGCAGGTTGTACTTGGCGACCACGGGAGGACCCGTTTGCAGTGCTTCATTGAGTCTTTCCACAACGGTCCAACACCCGTTCAACAAGAACTCGCTGTCATAAAAAGAATTGAAAAGTTGCCATAGCACCGGTAGTCTTGAGCATTGCAACTTGAAATTTTGCCCCGATTCGCCGTACCCAAATCCATCATGTTTGGCCAAAGATACAGCCATTTCTCAGAAAGTGGGCTAGACTCTGGCCCCGAAGAAGCACCTCGTGGACGACTCTCAAGGCCAGTGTCCGCAGAAGCTGTCCCACAATTCATCTCGAGAAACAGGCAAAGCTCAACTGACCTTGACCAAGGGCATGGTATGCGCTCAATAAAAGTTGACCAGACTGAGTTACTGCTCACAACTTAACAGGAACCCTCTTGTCGAGCGACGACTTTGGTAGCGCTATGCGCCCAGCAATGGCTAGAAGAGAACAGTTCCAACCCAGACGCTCGCTTAACAACATTGAGGGGAATCCCCTGATTACGGGCCTTCCAGACAATCAGCCTTCCACAGCGAGGTTAAAATCTGGCACGCCTGCTATGAACGTATCAATCAACAGAAAGCCAGTAGCTACATCTACGTTCGACACCATCGATAGCCAAGGTTATCAAAGTTTGAAACGGGGCTATTCAAGTGATGAGCCGCCTAGGAAATCAGAGTGTGAACCATTTACGGCCAAGCCGCTTTGGCGAATATGGGCCTGGGAGGTGTTCTACATATTTCTCAGCATATCCTCCTTCTTTTGTACGTTTTCCAAAGTTTGGTTCTATGAGAATACCGTCGAAGACTTCGTACTAACAATTTTGACTCTAGTGATCGTTGCGGTCCTCTGCAGCTATGACCAACAACCTTTGCCAGACTGGCCGCTGCATATCACGCTCAACACCTTCCTCGCCTTCTTTACTACACTGGCAAAAGCAGCCTTCATGCTTCCTGTATCTGTCGCAATAAGCCAGACGCAATGGTCGTGGTTCCTCAAAGACCGACCTCTTCATGACCTGCAATTGTTCGACCAGGCGAGCAGAGGGCCATGGGGCTCCGTAATGCTGTTGAAACGTATCAGATACAAACACTACGTTTCTCTTGGTGCCCTTTTGATGATCGTTAGCGCCCTAACTTCACCGGTAACGCAACTCGCCATCAAATATCCTGTCCGAGACTCTGTGGCCCTGCACGAGGAAGCCAAAGCTGCGGCTGTACGCAACATGACGTCGGACGAAGACCGCATGAACTTAGGGGCACGCCGAGCTTTAGTGCTAGCCACTTTGTCTGACAGCACCGATTTCATGGAGCCTATCGCACCCGCAGGCGCGTTCTGCTCTACAGGCAATTGCACCTTTGATCGGTATCAGTCTCTGGGCATTTGCATGAAGACGGCGAACATCACCGAACACTTGAAAGTGGAGGAGTTCGATTCCCCAGACATGATCGACACCCTTGTCTTGGGTTTCCCAAAGCCTGATGCAAAGGTGTGGCGAGCATCTCTCCCTAGTGGCTTGGAAATGGCTCATCAAACACCATTGGCGGCCATGACTGACATGCTCAACGGGAGTGAGACCTTTGCATTCCAAGACGATGAAGATCTCAAGCAAACTAGGATATCTTCTTTTACCGTCATCTACACCAACCCGACCGAGCTGAACGAGACGTGGTATAACGGGCTCTCTGAAATCGCCGGAGCGCCGTTTGCGTCCGACCTCATCGGCGCAATTTACAATTTTCGACATGAAGCAATGGAGGTCATGTATCATCTGTGCGTTCAAACGTTCGAGACAAGGGTTTCTATGGGTATCGAAAGAACTACTCTTGTCGAGACGTCTGCTGTACCTGTTGAACAAGAGAAACCCTTCTTTCTGGACATGCGGTGCCGGCCACTCCTTGGAGAAGCATCGCGTACGTGCAACCAGAGCATCGACCGTTGGCACGAAACATTGCATCTCAAGGATCCGAGGTTTTTGACAAAGCTTGACGCTGACTCGACTCTCGAGGAGGAACATTACAGTGCAAGCTATTTCTCTTTAGAGAAGATATCCACCATTCTAAAGACCGATATCATGGGCTATGCGAGTGCTAGCTACGTCACCGAAGAGTATCAGGATACAGCCGTTTTCTTCCGTGGACAAGAGTTTCTCAAGACTCTTTTTCAAACTGTCATATATGACTTGAAGAACATCGCCAACTCTACTCTTCGACAAATCGCCTTGAACAATATACACACAAATGTTGCGACCAGTGTATCAACAATGTAAGTCTGCTCGTTAGCCCCTTGTGGCATTGCTCTTAAAGCTTGGACTTCTCTGAACTTTGCTACCAGCATGCGAGTCAATCAACCGCAGAGTTACGCCTTCAATTCTTTCAACATTTCTGGCAAAGCACTAACGCAGGTCTCATACGTTCACATCACTTGGGGATGGATATCTATGCTTGCAGTCGAGATCGTGATGGCTCTGCTATTTCTTGCCCTTACAATCGTGAGCCAAATGAAACTGAATGGTCGACAGGCATCGAGCAGAGAAGAACGTAGTGCATTCCGGGAAGCCAAAAACTCGTCTTTGGCCATGCTAGTCGCCCTGGACGAAGACTCTCGTGCTAGAGCAGGCGGTGGACTCCGGCCTTTGGATGAACTTCAAAGCGCTTCCAAGGCTCTAAAGGTTCGATTTGAGGGTCGCCAAATGGTCACGGCTGATGAGACGACTATCGAAACCTCGGAAGTCGGTGATCGTGTCATTTAGTGTATCCAACGAGAAATTTAGGTCTGTTTCCAGATGATATATATGTAGCATTTTGCATATAAGTTACTAGCACCTTAAGAAGGAGAGTCAATGGCTCATGGCATTCCATAATAACAATGCCCCTGTGCCACCATGGTTTTCGCGTAATACTATCAACACCCGAAGTGAAGGAAGCAGTACATCGCATCGATAAACATCTTGAAATATGGTAGCTCATGTATTATGTTCTTACTGGTAGGTCAGCTTCATCTGTCTTTGAAGCCTAGGCTGCGATCGAGCTGAATCAGTACTCACTAGCAAGGATATCTTCCCGCTTGAGCTTCAGATCATCGTAGCCCAGTTCCGACTCTGCGTCATGATCGTCGGGATGTTCAAGATGGATCCAGTCGTTGCCGAATGTTCGAAGACAAGCAACGGTGATCCACAAGTCCTCCATGCTGGCGTGACCGGTACCGCAACCAGCATCCAGCAAGCATTGAGTGATGTAGCCTTCCGGAAGCTTACTAGGCGCATCGAGAAAACATGGTCGCAATATCTCTTTGTCACCGCAATGAGTTTCAGCGATGATGGCGTCACCCATTCGATGTAGGCATTTGGCACGGGGTATCCAAGGCGTAGCGTCTGATGGAAGCGGTGGCGGAGTTGCGGTTGGATTCGGCTGGTCGAAGCCAACTGTCAACAAGAAAGTTGGCAGTGCGAGAGGATTAGGACGCATATTCATAAGTAAAGAGGGATTGACCGACACTTCTTGTGCTGCTATTGGATGCTAGCTGAGGTTCCTAGCGATGATGATGGCGCCGCTGGCTTTTGTTTGATGTTTTGGAATCTTCCAACTCGTATCACTTTCCATGAAATTCTCCAAGCATCCAATGGGTTTTCAGCAATGTGGTGGAGCTTTGCTAGACCATATGAGGCAGCTCTCATCACAAGTGCTGACATGCGCCCATTTTGTCTGAGTCACCTGTTTGGATGCCTAACTATGGTCATACCATCATTCTATAGGGTGTAGTTGCAATTAGGATTTAAGCATAAAACAAATCCGACCACTGAAATTTTCTAGTGCTCCTGTAATGATCCAAAGTCTCAAGCAGTGGAACGCCGTGTTGAGTATCCGGGCTAACCAACATTGCGTGAATATTGGCTAGCAAACATTGCTCCATTCCTTTCCTCTTTCGACCCTCGAAGCAGATAGTTAGTGGACGAAAGATCATAATCTACCTGAAAATGGATGATGAGAATGGTCATCTTGAAGGCAATCGACTTATAGAAGGCCATGTCTTCTTGTTCATTCGTCTTGAAGTGGTAACTATTCATCAGCCAGACACCACTGACTGGTCGCTCTCCTGCTGATATCTTTGAAACTACCCAGAAATCATACACTCTCACCCCTTCTCCTAATATTCATTAAATGACACTTTAAAACTATTGACAACAAGACACTCTCCTACGTCATGGGCAATCAAATCGTCTTATCATTAAATGTTAATTGATGGGGCTTGAACATCGTGTTAGTCTATTAGACTCTAGGAAAGTGGGTCTCAGTGAGCACGGTGTGAGAGACAAAGAGATCTTTTGCGCACAGTACTTCTATCCCAGTGAAAATTTCTGGCCTCCAATTACCAGACAGCAAGACCTCCCGAGGCTAATAGAATCGTTGGCGCAAGAAAAGAAACATCGCGATACATCAGCCACGCCGTCCTCCTTATAACACAGGTTCCACCTACTTGCACTGTTGACTTCGTACTCATAATCGGTTGGCGTCATGGCTGCAGGCGGTGATTTTCAGACGACATCGCAAAGATTTTTGTCGTGGTTCAAGTCTTTGCCGGGCGCCATTTTCCATGATGACATTCAGATCGTTGACCTGAGAGGCCAAAATGCCGGGCGAGGAATCGGTAGGTCATTTTGCCCTCTCCTCGTCACGCTGTTGACTAACAAACTCCCAGTGGCCACAAAGGACATCGCACCTGAGACGGTTCTCTTCACCATCCCGAGAAAAAGCATCATCAATGTCGAGACGTCTGAGCTTCCCAAGAAGATTCCGCAAGTCTTTACCGGCAACGATGGAGACGACGAGGATATGGAGAATGAGCCCCTCGACTCGTGGGGTTCTCTTATCCTCGTCATGATCTATGAGTACCTCCAGGGCGATGCTTCACCCTGGAAGCCTTATTTTGAGGTCCTTCCCGAGAAGTTTGACACACTCATGTTCTGGGAGACTTCTGAGCTCGAATATCTCAAAGGAAGCGCTAGTTTGTCAAAGATTGGAAAGGAGGAAGCCGATGATATGTTCCGTTCGCGCATCCTGTCGGTAATCGCAGCCAACCCAGCCGTCTTCTACCCTGCAGGTGCCTCTGAAATGGCCGAAGCAGAGCTTCTGCAATTGGCTCACCGCATGGGCAGCATCATCATGGCTTATGCCTTTGACTTGGAGAACGAAGAGGAGCCGGAAGAAGAGGAAGAGGAATGGGTTGAGGACCGCGAGGGCAAGTCTATGCTGGGTATGGTACCCATGGCTGATATTTTGAACGCTGATGCAGAGTTCAACGTGAGAAGTTCTTCTTTCATCCTTCTGACGTTTTACCAACGCTAATATCTTGGCAGGCTCATGTCAATCACGGTGATAATGACCTCAGCGTCACCGCTCTGCGAACAATTCGTGCAGGAGAGGAGATTCTGAACTATTACGGGCCTCACCCGAATTCTGAGTTGCTTAGAAGATACGGCTATGTCACTCCCAAGCATTCTCGTTACGATGTGGTTGAGATTCCGTGGGACCTGGTCCAGTCTGTGCTCAATGAACAGTTGAAGCTCACTGACGAGGTCTGGAAGCAAGTGGTACGTGTGGAAAATGTTCAATCAGAGGAAAAAATGAATCAAACTAACGGGAGTGCAGGGAGAATACATAGATTCTGAAGACCTCGAGGATGTATTTGTCCTCGAGCGTGAGTCAGGAGAGCCAGACTCGGAGGGGCGACTCACAACCCCCGCCAAGGTCCAAGAGGTTTCTGCTGAGCTTGAGGAGCAGCTGAAGGGTATCCTGAAGCTTCTCAAGAAGATGAATGCTGATCTTATTCCCGACAAGCGGAAACGCGATGAGATTTACCAGCACGTTGTTGTGTCCACCCTGCAAAAGCTTCTGGCGCAGTACCCGACGACAGCCGAGCAAGATGAGGCTTTGCTGGCATCGGGCAGCTTGACAACTCGACAGAGAATGGCTGTTGAGGTAAGACTCGGCGAGAAGCGCCTTCTGAAGGAGGCCCTTCAAGTGGTGGGTACCTGCGGTTCTGTGGAGGAAGCTGCTGGCGAGGAAGAGGCGGACAGAGCTTCCAAGAGGGTGCGGCATTAGTCTCTTTCCGCACGCACAGAACGGGTAGAGGAACGAAGCCAGGCGGGAAAGTATGTAGTTGCCTTGTGCTCAACCGGCCGGGAGTTGCCTGGCTGAGAAATGTCAAATTCAACGTCACACAAACATTCCCACTAACACCGCTTGATGATGTGTGTCTCCGGAAACGCAAGTTGTTGTCTCCTTTCCCTCTATTATTTATTGGCAGTGCATTTCTCTCGACTCTGTGCCGCAATCGAAAGCCCATTTCGTCGGATATATCGGAAATCCTGGCCGTACCAAGCCACTGGCCATGTCGCCGTAGTCAGAGACATGCCCACCAACTGCGGCCCTCCCAACATGGCGTTGGTCCGCCATAATTTGCTGTTGGCCAGCGAAACCAGTTGGCGTCACTCCAAATAAACCCCCGCACTTGAGCTGACCGGTTCTTAGCTTAAAGGGGGATGTTTCCACCCGATAGGCCCTTCTGGACGCCCGATATCGTCCGATTACAGTCGATGACGAAGGACTACGGATGGACGGGACACTCCAAGCCAGCCTGCCACACACCGATTCATGAATACATGAGTCTTTGATAGGATCTTGGAACAAATATCGATGGCGCTTGCTCCAGAAAGGCCTATGAATCTTGAAGGACGAGGCCTTGAAGGCTTTGTGCCACATCTTTCTCTCAGCGAAGTGCTACGAGGAGGATTCTCACCGAGATCACACAGACATGCCCATCCAATGTTGTTCCAATATCTCGTCCCGGATGAGTTCAAAAACCACGATGTCAGAGAGACGTTTGATCTCATCAAATACCAGAAGGACATAAAACAAGTCATTTCGCACTCTATAGACAGTGGCGTCGAGCATGATTCTGATTTCGCTTCTCAAGTTCTCCTATGCTCGTCCACGAGATAGACGAAACCAACTGGCGTTTGGTGCGATTCAAAGGTCGTATGCACTGCTTGGTACCCAATCTTTCCTGCGGCCGCTATACGCTCCCCACCGCGCGTCAACCTTGCCTACTTCGCGTCTTCGGCAATGTCCCAGAGATGCCACGTCGAGCCTTCACAACAAATGGAATGTTTAACCGATCACGCTTTTCAAGGTTTCATTCGGTGCAATAGGCAGCCGGTGGTTGTTGGGCATCATGATCTGAGGGACATTTGGACGAATAACGCTGCACTCTATTGCAGTGATGGCGGAATCTGGCCCCTCGACTGTGGCCAGGTCATAGCCAGGGAAGGAGGTGTTATGTTTCCTTCGACTAGGGATCCATGACCGAAGAAGAATCAGCTCGTCGATACGGCTGTCGAGTCGACAGCCACAATCCTTCACGGATCCCACCTCGATTCAGTCTCTGTCCGAACCTCTCCAGCGTCGACGACCGAGCCCGAGCTCCCGAAGCTGGGCCAAAGAAGTGAAATCGTCGACAACCTCATTGGCTCCAGATTCGTTCATCCCAATCGCACACATGGACCTGATTGGTTTAGCGTCATGCAAGTCATACCAACATCCACCTCATGGGTGACAACCTTACACGCTTGATCTAGTGTCGATGCCTGCACTCCTGCAATCACGTTCGACGATGTTAACGCCCACACTTGGAGTTGCAGGAGGACTTGGGCATCTTGGACCTGGATTTCAACCCAACAGCAAGCAGGCCATTGTATTACTCCAGAACAGACGTGCCCCAATGAGCAACTGGCGGCACAAGAGTCAGCCAAGTTCTATTCGTTGGGTTGTGACGGTTCAAAGGCAACCACAGCCGAGGAAACAGCGAAACCCGCATTCTCGAGAATCCCATGCCTTCTCATCTTGAAATCGCATACCTGTGTCTCTGCAGTGCGCCATGCAGTCATTCTTCACCGGCGCAACGTGGCCGAGTGCAGACCAAACGACATGTGACCACGGGACCTACGCCTCCGTCGCGATCAGGAAATTTGAGGTCGATCAGAACACTGCGTTTCTGTCTCACGCGTGTCCATTGTCGTCAACAAGGCGTCAGAAACTCTGGATTGGGCACTTGTGATCGTCAAAACCAGGTTGTCCCAATCGAAGCCTGGACTTGTAGCATGCTCGGCGCTGCAAGTAAGGATATGGGTTGCATCCTTGACGCATCGCAAGTTGAAGAATATCAGACCACCTTTTCGGGCATGATCGACGACGTCGTCAGGCCCCAAGGTGCAATAGTCGCTTAATACCCGGGAATCCATCATCTCTGTCATTTCTGACGAGATCACTGAAAT